AGTTCCCCTCCGAGCCCCTCCCCATCCTGACTTGGGAAATATATCCCTGTCCCTTCAGTGTCGCTGGGTCAGAATCCTGGAATTCCCTCCCTAAGGGACATTATGGGTCAACCCCCACAGCACATGGACTGCAGCGGGTCAAGAAGGCAGCTCACCCCCACCTTCTCAAGGGGAGTGGGTAAGGGGTGTTGTGTGACTCGCTCCCACAGGGAGTTGGGGGGGAATGTGGGACTCAGTCCCACAGAGAGTTGGTGGCGGGGGGGGAATGTGGGACTCACTCCCACAGGGAGTTGGTGGGGGCTGGGGAATGTGGGACTCACTCCCACAGGGAGTTGGTGGGGGGGGGGGAATGTGGGACTCACTCCCACAGGGAGTTGGTGGGGGGGTGGAATGTGGGACTCGCTGCCACAGGGAGTTGGGGGGTAGGGAATGTGGGACTTGTTCCCTGTTTTCTCCTGAGAGATGGGGCTTGGCGATGCGGGGAGTCTGTGGTTGGTGGGGGAGGTGGTGACTCTTAAAGCCGGTTCCTTCAGCTCATGTTCACCGCAGTTTCACCGCATGGGGGTTGGGGGGGGGGGGGGGGGGGTCAGTGTTTGGGCAACAGTCTCATTCCCTGCAGACCATCAGAAACCAAGTCCCAGCGGGAACCTGGGTCGCTGCTCAATAGCGCCTCCTCCTGGGGAGTGAGGGCCCTCACTGCCACTCTGTGGAGGTGCAGTGGGGTGGAGGGAATTGTCCCCTCCCCCAGGGCACTGGGGTTGGCATGCTATCCCTCGACTGGCATCAATGTGAGACAGGTCCATGGGGATGTGGCGCTGTACTCCATGGGATCTTGTTGTGCAGAAATTAATGTTTTAGCAACGGCCTGTTTTCGCAACAAGAGATTATCTGGCTGAGAAACGCTTCAGGATGTGGTTAATGTGCAGGCTCGTCCCCTCTGCATAATGGGTGCTTGGTCATGGGGAAATACAGCCTGGGCCTTGCCAGCAAAGATCACAAATTACTGAGTGCTAATAAGCTACCGCATTTCCAGTCTGCTTCGGGATAGTAAGAACTGCCGATGCTGGAGTCTGACATAACACAGTGTGGAGCTGGAGGAACACAGCAGGCCAGGCAGCATCAGAGAAGCAGGAAAGCTGACGTTTCGGGTTGGTACCCTTCTTCAGAAATGGGGGAGGGCGAAGGGAGCTCTGAAATAAATAGAGAGAATAGATGGGGCTGGGGAAGGTAGGTGGGATGGTGATAGGTGAGTGCAGGAAGGGAGTAGGGGGGATGGCTCAGTGAGGTGGGAGAGAAGATGCACAGGTTTTGAAGAAGGGTCGCAACCCGAAATGTCAGCCTTCCTGCTTCTCTGATGTTGCCTGACCTGCTGTGTTCCTCCAGCTCCACACCGTGAAGGGTCTAGGCCCGAAACGTCAGCCTCTCTGCTCCTATGATGCTGCTTGGCCTGCTGTGTTCATCCAGCCCTGCACCTTGTTGTCTCGGATTCTCCAGCATCTGCAGTTCCTACTATCTCTATCTCTAACTCCTGTCTGCTTCACCCTCCCTCTCTCTCGCTGCATCTCTGTGCCTCTCTGTCTCTGACTCTCTCTGTGTCTCGCTCTCTCCTTCTATCACTCTCTGTCCTTCTCTCTATCCCTTTCTCTCTCTGTCCCTCTCTCTCTCACCCTCTCCATCTCTGACCCCCTCCCTCTCCCTCCCCTCTTTCTCTCAGCCTCTCTACCTCTGTCACTCTGTAATCCTCTCTCCCTCGATATCCCCTCTCTGTCTCTACCCTGCTCTCTCTTTCCCTCTCTCTGACTTTAATAGTCTCTATCTCTCTGCCTCTCTCTCTGACCCTCTCTGTGTGTCTCTCTCTGTCCCTCTCTCATTGTCTCTCTGTCTCTGTCCCTCTCTCGGTCTGTGTCTCTGCCCCCTCGCACTCTCTCTGTCAGCCCCACTATCTCTGTCCCTGTATAATCCTCTCTCTCTCTCTCTACCCCACCCTGACTGTCTTTCCCTCTCTGACTCTAATTGTCTCTCTCTCCCTGTGACACAAAAGTCCCTGTCACTCTCTGTGTCTCTGCCCCTCTCTCTGACTCATTCAGTCGCTTTGTCTGTTTTGTTTATCGTCCTTGCTTTAACTTCTTGTCTTTCTCTCTCTCTCTCTCTCTCTGTCCCCTCTGTCTCTCATTGGCAAGATCCTTACAAGGCCAGAGGTGGGGGGGGGTAGGTGTGAGAGAGGGGAGGGAGTTGGAGTGCAGGGTGGGGGAATGAGAAAATGGTCAAAGCACTGTTGGAGACCATTCAGCCCTTCCCATGTCTCTGCTAGCTCTCTGTCAGAGCCTCTTAGTGGCTCCCAGCCCTCTGCCTTGTCCCAGCGATCTGCAGCTCCTCCATCCAGAAACCACAGAGGGAGTGAGATTCCTCTGGGAGCGACCGTCTGCCGGGACGGGGAAGGGGGCACCGGGAGACTCAGGATTGTTTACCGATGTGCAGCAGGATGAAGATGGCCAGGGAGGTGATCCAGTGGCTGATCTGTGGGTGAGAACAGATGAGGAGTTGAGCGACCGGCATTTTCCAAAACCCCCTGATTCCTCCCTCAGCCCCGCGGGATCCAGGGTCTGGGATAATTCCCTGTAAACCTTCTGGTGGAGAGCGAACTTTCAACCAGCAACCAAAGGTGAAACCAAAGCAGACCGAGTTTCACAAATATCTGTCAGTTCACTTCCCCCACCCCTGGGGCCCGCAGTGTTCAGGGCTCATTAACCCTGTAAACTCAGGGGCTCACTTACATACACTGGATCCTGACTCACAACGGATCCCTGCTCACAGCAGATCACTGACCCACTCTAGATCACTGACACGTACTGCATCGCAACCCACAACTGATCGCTGACTCTCACTGACTATCTCTGTAACCCCTTCCAGCCCCTACCCCTCTCTCTCTCTCTCCCCTGCTCCCCTCTTTCTCTCTCCCCCCACTCTCTCCCACCCTCCCTCTCTCCCCCCCCTCTCTCCCCTTCGCTGGGGCCCAGTGTTGGGG